CCCAAAGGTAATATTTGAGTTCGTATTGTTAGTCATATTAAACATGTAGCATTGACCATTATTATGACAAACGTCATCCGTACATATATCTTTCGCTGACATATAAGTCATAAAAAGGAGAAGCAAATACCATACAATCATCATATCAGCTGTGTAAGTTTATTCTAGAACGATGAAACGAAACTGAAGACAACCATGTATACGGAAATAAATCGAGATTTATCCAAGCAGTTTTTCACTCGGTTGCTCCCTGAAGCCCACTGCAGTATTCTATTATAATCACTTGACCGTTATTGCTGGCAGATCTATTCTGTACTTTTTACTTGATATCCAATATGATGAACGTCTTATCGATTTCAAAACTAAAGAGTTTTACATATGTTGAGTAACATTTTTTGATTCAAACATGGTAGAGACTTATGCTTCTCACTCTTAGAACGGTACCATATGTGATTCTAGAATTGACTGACTTTTTCTTTTCAGCAGTACCTAAGATAAGCTTTTTGAAGATCTACAAATCTCAAAGTACTACATTCTTAGCTTTAGTCTTTTGAAAATTTCAGATATTCTACATACAAATCGATACTCTTAAGTTTACATTTTTACTAACAATGAAAGTTTGCAAGCCTCTATCTTTGTCGATAAATAATGTTTCAAAGCGTACCTTCGACCTTTCTGCTATGAGATATACTATAATAATTGACTAAATTAAGGGACAAAAATGGCATTTGAATCTACTGCAGGAATCAAACAATACCGACAGCTACAAAATAATGCGAGAACAAAATACTGGAAAAAACTCCGAAGCGCTTTTAAAGTACCTAAGAATATTTTGTACTATTTCGAAACATGTGGAACCGTGTAATTCTTAGTGATATTATTGTCTGTTTCATAGTACATTTCTAAACACTTTGAAATACGAAGAAACATAAAAAGGGTTGTAGGTATGGACTCAGTATAGGTTGATATTGAATGAATATCCACACCCAAAACATAACATTCGATATGACCATTTTTGAACGTAAATTCATTAAAATCCACTATAAGTAGCTTTACTTAATAACTAATATCAATAAAACCAAGAGCAACTGGGATTACTTGATTCGATAATATCAAGGTGTGTAGTGTGGGTGTGGATGTACACAATTAGCAAACTCTCACCAACACTCTGAATTTTTGGTAAATTTTATGTTGACAGAAAAGAAAAATCAAATTTATTCTATCAGCGTTTAAGTGACCTATTGATCCGTGATATTATCGAGCAGCTTGATGTCAGCCATATAGTCTTCATACATGATAATGATCAACTAATCGGTCATCCCAACAATGTAGGGCTTCTCTAAAAAAATGCTTACCTGTCAAAGTAGTCTGGCCATTCTTACCGAGACATTGTATAGATGTAGCTAGATAAACCCATATTGACTCGAATATACTACGAAAATATATTCAGATCTTATCAATAGAGTAAGAAAATATATGAATGAGATAAGTATAAACTACGGGCTTATCTCAAGCTATTAAAGTACGGGCGAAAAAAAAAGAGTTTAGTGTAAAGAAACAGATATAGATTAGGGATTAGGATGAAATGTTAAATATACAGGGTGTCCCATAAGTAACAAGACAAGGAAAAAAAGTTTGAATATCTCCATTAGGGCTCGACCAAATGGGCTCAATTTTTTATCAAGGATAGAGGCATCTGCACACTCCAAATCCATACGAACAAGGTGAATGAGAACCTTTGTTAAGTATCGCTAGTGACCTCAACAATAAAATTTTTGCTTTGTCACTGGTAAGAAAAATCCAATATACAGGATAGTGCAAAAGTCACTTTATCGAAAAGAAAATTAAATATTTCCATTACGGCTCGAGCAACCGAGCTGATTTTTTTACCAAAAATAGAGGCATGCTTATACTTCAAATCCATACAGACAAGCTTAGTGAGGACCTTTGTTAAGTATATTTTTTTATTTTCCTGTCTGTGAAAAAGTAAAAATTTTATTGTTGAGGTCAATAGTGATACTTAACAAAGGTTCTCATTCACCTTGTTCGTATGGATTTGGAGTGTGCAGATGCCTCTATCCTTGATAAAAAATTGAGCCCATTTGGTCGAGCCCTAATGGAGATATTCAAACTTTTTTTCCTTGTCTTGTTACTTATGGGACACCCTGTAGTTGATAGTTATAACTTGGGTTGAAAGTTATAACTATGGTTGAAGGTTATAACTGTATTATCCATTTCAAAATAAAGTGGACTCGATTGTTTATTTAATAACTCTGGAACGCTGATAGCTATCGAATCGCGGTTTTCACCGTTAAACAGAGGGTGACTGAGGGTACCTGTACAGCTGAGAGTCAATGAATTTTAAAAGTTTCATAGAAGTTGTGCAAGTGCTTTTTTATAAAACTCTGACTGACTCTTTTGATTAAATAAATTATTAATTTCAATTGAGCCAAATTGTAGCCGAGTATCTGCTCTATAAACGCTGAAAGTTTCAGATTTCCCTTGTGTGTCTCTGAGATAAAAGAAAAAATCTCCTGAAATCGAATGATGCTAAATTTTCAAAATGTTTTGGCTTAAACCTCTGATCCATAGAGGTAATAGAACCTACTGATTATTGTAACGTTATTAGTTAGATGATGGAACATCTTTGATTGCTTCATATCACCTCGTATATGTCTATTTCTGACGATCTCCACTAATCGATTCAAGAGAAACATTCATTTTTTACTCGTTCATATTTATTTTTTTTTGTCTATTTGATCACAATGACATATGTATGTATCAGAGGAGTTATCACAAGTGCAAATGGTACAGAAGAGGGACGCATACAAATTGTTACTTAGAAATATCAGACTCATTGTCATTCATTGCTGCTGAATCTTCTTTTTTATCAGTTTCAATTAATTCTGGCTCAATATTGTTTTCCACAATGACATCGGCTTAGAGGTGTAAGCCGAGGGTCAAAGAGCGGCGACGCCTACTAGGCTTTATGTTTTCTACGTCGTCGTCGTCGGCTTTAAGTATAAATTATTTTGTTCCACAGTGCCGGCAGCTGCTATATTTTATGTTTTTCTGAACTGGCGGTGGCTTTGACAACCAGAAAAAAAACGTTTTCGCTCCTAAAAGTCGAAAAAATCACCCACTGCAAATGTATCGATGTCAACGGCGGTGGTGCTTCATACTATTATCAAAAATTTTCGTTCGTGTCGGTGGCGCACTGGCCGAACTAATTTTTCATAGCGGCGGTGGCTAAAAAATTCTTAAAATTATCTACGATTTCGTGGCGGCGGCGGCTCAGCTCGGTGGCTTACACCAATACATCGGCTTCTTTGAAAATATTCTCAACTTTGTATGCATGCTCGATGAAGCTTTGTGCTAAATCTTCATCAACGGCAGCAATACAATCGAGCGCACTATCTTCAACCTGGGAAAGACAAAAATTAACATCTCTGTTGCGCACGTGTGACTTGAGTTGTGCCCATGTACGCTCTGTGGGATTGAGTGTTCAATGCTTTACCGAAAGTCGCAAGATTTCGACATCGGGGTATGGATGTGAATGTGGGTATCACTGAGAAAGAGACCAATACCCACACCCACACCTAAAAATGGTCATTTCTGCCAAAAAAATAATCATTTGTACAATAGAATTGGTCATTTGTGCCATTGCTTCAGAAATGATCATTTCTATCAAAGGAATGGTCATTTTGTGCCATGAAAATGGCCGTTTACGCCATAAAAGTGGTCATTTGTACCATGCAAATGGTCATTTGTGCCTAGCCCTTGTTACAGATGGACAGACAGACACAGATGAATTACGATTTCTAGACCCTAGTCTTTCAGTCTAGGGAATAAATCCTTTCTATGGAAAGGTAGAACAATAAACCCTTGACCGTAGAATAATAAATCCTTTTCAGAAAAGAGTAGAACAATAAACCCTTATCCGTAGAATAATAAATCCTTTTCATAAAAGAGTAGAACAATAAACCCTTATCCGTAGAATAATAAACCCTTTTCATAAAAGAGTAGAACAATAAACCCTTGACCGTAGAATGATAATTCCTTTTCATGAAAGAGTAGAACAATAAATCCTTAGCCGTAGAATAATACACCCTTTTTATTTTTAAATACCCTTTTTCTCGGAAACCCTTTCGCACAAAAACCCTTTAAGGGTTTAGGAAGATTTTCCTTAAGTACTAGGGCTTGTTATTCTACAAATTTTTTTTACAGTGTACTTCATAATGATACCAGGGCAAGTTGTTTTTGGGCCTTATGTCCTTGCAATATTGTAGCCCTCAATGATATCTAGTGATCCTAGAAAAATCAGTCTGGATCTGAATCGGATAGTGGAGAACGGAGGCCCAGAATCTCACCTCTCTAGAGTATTTTTACGTAGATTTAGGCCTAAGGTTTTGATGTGTCGAAGTAAAGGAAAAGTTTATCGGATCAAGCTGAAATTTTGAGTGATGACTACTAACATAAAGTTGAGTATTTGCTGAAAGTTTCAGGTAAATCTGCCTTCATTTTGTAAGGGGGCCGAAATTCACGGAAAACGTCCCCCGTCCTTTCTATAGAATCATTTTCAAAATCTGTTGACTTACATGGTATATCTCTTTTTTCATAGAACCTCTCTTACAAACACATACATGCTTATCATTGAAAACTGAATGCTATAAATATGCAATACTCTCAATGACTCACTGGTCACTTGATATTATACAAGCACTTTTTTCAACTGCTATCTTTATTAGCACTAGATGTCAAGAGTGTTTGAAAGTCATGCAATGTTTTTATGATGCAAGGTTTAAACTGTCTTTTCTTTCAGAAAAAAAAGAAAGAGAAAAAAGTTGATTTTTTCCAAGTGACAGAGTAGAAGATACTAACGAATAAATGTCATCAAACTCGTTTCTAGACAATTAACGATGGCGTTATCTAAAGTGAGCGAATTTTATCTAGCCTGTCGGAATAATGATCTAGATGAGGTAAAACGCAGGATTGTTTTCATGAGTGTTAATGAAATCAACCAATTCGAAGAAACTAGTCTTGGAAAGAGTACAGCGTTACATGTGGCATCGTATTATGGTCATTACCAAGTGGTCGAAATATTGCTGGCACATCAAGCTAATTCAACAATCAGAAATTTCTGTGGACTAACAGCTTACGCAGAAGCTAGTACGAGAGATGTAGCATGTGTATTTAGACGTCATCGAATGGCTGATAGTACCTCAAATGATCGTTTTTCCCAAGCAAACTCAGATCTTGAATGGGTCTCATATAATCCAAATATGGTGAAACAAGCATCTCATTACGATAAATGGCTTGAAACTGGCTGTAATAACATGGAATTTGCTATCGAAGATAGTATCGTTCATTATTTAAAGGAAAAAGAAGAGTTAAAAAATGATCTTGATATTGATCTAGTTGAGAAATTATTTCGTGAAGCAATTAATAGACATGATCCAAAACTTATCGTGACAGCTTACACATTGGAAACACAATTTTATCGAGTGTTAAATAGAGATCTAGCAGCCACATCGGCTGATATGTTAAATCAAAAATTCATATTCGATGCAAAAATCCAACCTTTTTGGCAAACCTACGGACGAATAGCTGCTATTATTGCTCGACATCCAGAATTATATAGATTTGGAGTAAAGGGTTGCTTTTTTCGTGGTATGGCATTGAGTACAGAAGACTTGTCGCAATATAGAGTTGGTGAACGTATCTTAACTAAAACTTTTGCTTCATGTTCACGCAATCCTTTGATCGCCGAAAAGTTTGCAATCAGAGATCTTGACACAACAAGTGAGAAATGTTTCACTCTATGCAAATATATTATCGTCCGTAAACGTTCAGCATTGGAAATTAATACTCTATCAGTATATCCAGACGAAACAGAAGTGTTAATTGTACCTTTCCGTGTATTCGAAATTGTAAAAACGACACCAAAAATGTTTGAATGGTGCAACAAAGATGAAGTGGTAATGAGAAAAGAAGGAATAGAAATTGAATTACAAGAATGTGAAAAACAAAACTCTAACTGTCGGTTAATGTAAAATGATATTCGCATAATCGATTTGCAGAATATTTAGAAACTTTTCAGCTTCTTTTCAAAGCTTTACTAATTTAATATTGTTCAATTCTTGTTTAACGAATCTCATCTCTAAAAACCCAAATGTCCCCATACAAATCTCAAAATAAAATATTGCGTGACACACGTATATTTCGAAGAGAAATTGGCAGTACCGCTTTGCATCCTTTAAAGCGATATAATGGTTCAAAGATCTTAGTAATCCTGTAATATGATATTGAAAGACAGAAAAAAAAGAAGATTTGTACCATTTGAGAACGTTAAGTTTCATCGAATCAGTAAATAAACAATAGATGATGCTCCTATCCATGCTTTATTCATACCTCATTGAGTTTTTCGTTCCTTAGTTGCACTTTTTTCTTCCATATGTAGAAAGCTTTCTGTACAATCACTTTGTCATTAAAGAGGAGTGTGAGTGTGAGTATTTTTTTCTCTCGCACCTCACACAGCACACCCACACCGTATTTTTCTAATACAACAACAGAATAGAGATTATTCACCAGCGACACAGATGATACTTCGATCCCGATCACAGAATTTTTTGTCTAATAACTATTCAAAGCAATAGAAGAACGAATAGGAAACTAGAAACAACACGTGAACTAATTGACTAAAGAAGACGATGCACAGAGTCTATTAAAAGAGCATCCACGATCACTTCCATGCAAACTCGTTAAAGAGAAGTGCAGTTATATTACGTTACAGTCGGAGAGAAAAAAAGAAATCTATACCGGCTGTACATAATCAATAAACGACAATGTCTATAACAGCTCGAATCATCGACTGCAAACATCCATCAATTATGGAGTGAAACCGAGTATACCTTTCCGAATATCTAGTATCAGTCAGATTCATCCGAAATACGGTAAGCCGACAGAAAAACATATCTGATATATATAGAGATTAAAGTAAAATGTGACCGAGAACAATGAAACACAATACGACGAGTACGACTGCGAGCGAGCCACAGAAAAAACTAAGCAACGAAGCGTATGTGGTCAGTTGACTTCGGAAAAGATCTAAGTTTGGAACAAACTATTAACATAGAATCATCTTCGAACAAATATATTGTCAAAGCTATTTGATGATTCTCATGACCGAGACGAAATCATGATTTCGATTGCTAAAAAAAGAACACACCCAGACCAATGACGTTAATAAAAATTCCTACTTAACGTAAGAAGAACGAAATAAAAGAGAAACAACAAAACGATAAGCCAGTGTATGTCTTATATTTTATGGAGAAAGAGCAATAAATATAATCTATAAAATTCAGTTACGTGATTTTTTTTCAGCAGACGCATTTAGTTTTTTATGTATGGTGGACAAAAATACATATGCTCTCAATAATAAATGCTATCACTTGCACATTCTAGGAAAGATGTGCGATATCTGTATTCTTATTACTTTACCCACAGCTACATTCATACGATTGATCGTAGGATAAATCAAAGAAAATGAAATATTTGTCCGAATCACTCACGCAAAATGTAAGTTTGGTTTACAACCACAGGTTCTAAGTATGAGAGTAAAAACTTTTTGATGATCACAATCGAGAGACTTCTAGGAACAGATTTGATTTTTGTGCATATTCGAACTTATTCTTTAATATTGACTTTCAACAACTAGTGCTACGAGCTAAACAAAGCAATGAAGCAAAAGTTTTGGAATCGGTCAAAAAAAATCATATTGTCTTGTAAAAAAAAACGACTTAGTTGTATTACTTGATTTTTTTCGATCTGAAAGAGCTGCTCAAAATCCTTTGGACGCAGTTCACCTCATTAACAGGTCTAATTCGATTGAGTCATGAACAATAAGGTAAAAGCAACTCTAATTGAACTTCCAGTTCCGTGTATCTCAACATCTTTATTAATCTTGAGTATGAATTCAAAAAGACTTCAAGAATAATAACTACGCATAATCCATTTTGGATGTGAATACTATGATGCCCACACCCACGCCTATTTGAAACCTCAATACAATGCAAAAACGCAATTGGCTCCGTGTCACGATCGATGAACATATTCTTAGTACCAATAAGCTCCTCTCTAACGTCTACAATCATGTGAACATCGATTTATCCATCTCGAAGAATGTAGCATTCTTAGATCTTCAAAGAGAATCCTATGTATATATAATGGCTTAGCGGATTTTTCAATTACTTTCTAGGTGGAGACCTTTCGATAGAATTCGCCGAGCTCGAGGAACGAACGATCATCAATCTTCCTCTTTTATCACTGCCTAATAGATCACAAATAATAATCTGAACATATATTCAGAGTACAAGTTATGAATGTCATCTAAACACACGTATTTCCAAACATACTTAATGGAACATTAAATAATTCTTTTTCAAATAGAGCATAAAGTAGAATTAATGCTGACTCACCAACATGCGAAATTAGTTTCTGAAAGATATCATGTACTAATTATTAATACTAAGTAAACATGATTTTTCAATTTCAGTTCCTAAATATTTTGAAAGCATGGTTGGAGTCTGTCTATGATTGTGTTCATCGTAGTGAATAGGCTCCTAGATATCATGACAATTGTCTAGACCTTCCTAAAGGGCTTCGTCTAATGGCAAGAGATTGACCGAAGTGATCTCTCAAGGTAGGAGCCTAGAGCATCACAATTCGAGGACATTAGTCACTCAACTATGGCAATAAAATAAGTAAAAATCCGAAAACTTCCTTTGTTTATATTCTATATAGAAAATCTTAAAGTTATGTTTAAAAACACCAGTACCCTTCGAGAACTGATTTGAAATTTCTACGATGTCTCTAATAAATGTTATTTTTGTTGAGTCTTTTCACAAAATGTCATGTAGTCATCCGACAGCCCGCCAAGGCTTTAGTATCCGTAAAAAAATGCATGAGTCGCTTCAAATTTCTTAAAAGAAATATTCTGTATCAAATAGACACTCACGTAAACGATTGCAAATGAAGACGTGGACTGTTTTGTAGAGTTTCAAATTACAATAATATTTTCTCATAACTATATACGAAGATATACAATATTTTATAAACAAATAGGACACTGAACCTTGCCCCCGTATCGTTTTCATTATTCTTCTGTTGTTACTCAGAATTTAATTCGATTTCTTTGGATTAGCCAATCACATATATACACACTATCGTCAATCCTAGCCGTATAAAGTGCCAAAACACGTATTCATGCGTAGTCATACGATAGCTATGTCATCATTTACCACTACGTGCTATTTCTGAATTGTATAAGCTTGACAAAAAAAAGAAATTCACTACTTGGTCTAGATTTTGACAAAAGCTTGTCTAGAAAGATCTTTGCAGGTGGATGTGAGGTGTGGGTGTGAATGTAAGTGTGGGGTATTGGTAGACGAGGAAATACCGACACCCACACCCTTGAAAAATTTGAATGATATTTTCATTGGGATTAGTAATATGCTTCAGCAAGTGTTTGGTGAATAAACCATTGCGGTCTGTTGCAAAACCGCCACTAGCAGTTTAGTTTGTGGCACAAGCAAACTGGACAAACGTGCCAGCTGGTGGATCAATTAAATGGAGACCTGTTCCCGTATCACCTTGAAAAAACAACTCATTATTGCTCTTACATCCCACGACTCGAGACATAGTTACCTCTTTGTTTTGGTATCTTTTTTGGCCAGTATTTCCGACAACAATCCAAAATGAAGATGGTCACATACGATGGATTTCTGTCTGACAATTGTTTCAGTACTCTGTCGACCGCAAAAGCATACGATTCCACGTCTTTTTTAGTATCTATCTCATCATCATCGACAGGCATCAAATAATTTTCACCCTGAACTTGGTAACCATGACCAGAAAAGTAGAACATGACTAGGTCACCGTCAACAATCGACTTTTCAAAGCTATGAATAGTGTTAAACATTTGTGCATTGGACAGAATGTGACCTGTTGTCACTTCAAAACTAATGGTCGTAAGTATCTTGCTAAGATCATCAGCATCGTTGATACAGTTATGAAGTTTGCTTTCTGGTCGACTGTAGTTATTATTGCCGATGACAAGTGCTCGTTTGCATCTAGATGATGAACCAGCATTAGTACTAGACATTACTATCCATGATATAAAAAAGAAAAAGCAAAATGCCATGCTTGATGACAATTTCAAAGTATCAGATGAACCTCACAAGAGACAAAAAGACGTCGCAAATTTTTTCTTATGATTTAAGATTAAACACTTTTGTCGATGAAGACGTTTCCACTTTCAAATCTGTATATTTTTCTGTCCAAAAATATTCCAAGATATCATTGCCACGACTGATGATCAAAAAATGTATCCCTTGAAATTGACGATCCTGCACAGGAAGGAGTATGAACTTCAACATGAAGGAAAATTGTCACATCTTTGTCATGAAGCCTTCGGATTTTACTATTAGAGGGTAGATGCGTTCATGCTGAGGACTGATGGGGAGTATGTGGGTGTGAAGATGTGTTCTTGTGGATATGATTACGTTATGAAAGCAGAGTTTTATTTGGAAGAGTTGTTTCATTTAGTTTATTTCTCAAACGCATGGAAAACTGAAATATGATGTCTAGCTTCGGTCTTATCAGGCAAGACCATGACAAGAAGAACAAATGAAATGATGCACATATGCGTTTTCGGCTCGAGCCTCGAGTAGTTTGCACTGATGGATGCATGAGTATAGAGCAATGCTTCATCCTTATCGTCACAAGCCCACATATAGATCCATTCACTCATACACCTACCTATATATATATATCCATAAAATAGTTTCTTCATAAAGCCGCCTATGGGTTCCAACACACACAAAACAATAACACTAATAACTTTACAATGAGAATAGTCATCGAAATTTGCCTGGTATCAAGTCGAAATCAGACTAGATTGAATCTCATGTTGGATTATAGGTAAGGCATCAATCTTACGAGACTCAACTGGCCATGTCGCCTATGACCTATGTCCAACTCAGAGTTGGAACAA